GTGCACGGCGCTGCGGCGAGAATCATTATCTCTAAATTGATTGACCCAAATGTCATGCAGATCATCTTGGAGTGGGAAGCCAGCGTGCTTGACGGGCTCCGCATTTTCTGCTGGCTGCACAGCCAGACGCGGCCATGGCCTTGAAGGCCACCCTCTAACCAAGCAGGTCAGGGTATTGCCCTTGGCGAAGAGAGATGCTACACCACAAGCAGAAGTGGGACTGGTGAAGTTTTTTGACTTTATGTTCTGACCTGCTCGGTGACGGCTGGTTTGACTTTCTGAGACAAGGATACGGAATGAGGCCCCAGGAGACCCAGCTGGGGTTCCGACTGGTGACGAGAGCTAACCTTTACCGAGAGGCTCACGGTGTTCTTGGTGCTCTGCTGAGGGTCAGCACGCATGGTGCGCCTTGTGCCTTACAGCCAGTCTTCCAGGTGGGCACTGGTGTTATCCTCATGTCCACTTCATAAAGAAAAACGAATCTTAGTGAGGTTAAGTCACCCACCTCAGGCTGCACAATTAATTAAAAAGAGGGAAGCGGACAAGCCCCAGCAGTCAACAAAGCCCAGGCCCTTGGCTCCGTGATCGCAGGGACAAGGGCTTCAGCTCCCTGGGCTCAGGGCCCCTTTAAGTAAATAAGGGGGGCGGGGCTGACAAATCCCCGGTGCCCCTGGCAGCTCGACAATTACAAGATTTTTCAGAAGACCTTTTAGGTAATCTTGGGCTTGTTTCGGGGACCTCCTTTGAAGAGCCACAGGTAGCCCCCCCAGAGCAGAGAGAGGACTGAGGATCGGGTACCTCCAGGCAGCTAAAGGTCCCCGGAGGTGGCCAGTGACAGCGTGGCAGGTGTGGATCTCCCCCTACCAGCACAGGTGAGCAAGGGGGAAACAGCGCATTTCTTCAGTTTTGATTGGGACAAACATAGTGAGTCACACTGTTTGGGGATGTTTTCTAATAATCGTCTGCCCACACCATGTCTCCTGCTAGGTGGCAGTTCTTGGCAATAACAGGTCTCGGGTCAGGGTGATGGCCCCTCAGTCACTGTTGGTCCATCGGACTGAGCACTGAACACTGAGCCCTGTCCGTTTACACACCGTAGTCTCACGTCCACTTTGTAACTGCTGGGCCCCAAAGCCCAGCACTGGCCCTGCCCATTTGCGACTCTAGCAGCCTGCTGTACGTGCAAGTGTGTGCATTCGCATGTGTGTGGTGGAGGCAGGAGACGAGTGTGTGCAGGCTCTCTCTGGATTGTTTTCCTTTCTGCCCAAGGTGCTGTGGTTGACTGTGGGGTCGAGGGGGGAGGAGGGAGATCAAAACAGAGACCTCTGCCTCCTCACCTGGCTGGGCGAGGCGCTGCTCCTCCTCGACTTTGCTCTTTGGCGACTTCTCCGTGTGCACACTCCACGGGTGGGTTGGCTGGGGCAAGCCCTGCTATCCACAGTCTCTTGCAAGAGTGGCTGCATTTTCTGCCTGGCTCTTTCCCCTTCGGTGCATACCTCTTTGTCCTCAAGATAGAAGACTCCCCAAGGTCATGTAACACAATCTCATCTGCCTCCTGTGCCAATTCTCGGGCCTGTGGGTAACCATGGAACCTACCTTACCCATCTTACTTAACCATTTGGAACCAGGAACTCAAGATGGAGTGGTCCTGGCCCCCTCTCTGGGGTTCCCCCACCATTTCCCAAGTCTCTTTTTCTCCTGCTCTCATGGAAAAAAATCAACAATCCACAAGCTAAATAAGTTGTCCGGCTGGGAGCAGAATGCCAGGCTGCCTTCCTTGTAGGATCCTTAGCCTTGGCATTGGGGAGGCAAAGCCCCCTCCTGTCCACTCTGGTGGGTGGCGATGAATTCCTCTCACACTGAGGATGGTCGACTGAATTGGTACCCCTCTGAGGCCTGTGGGGACGACGGTAGTCTGACTCCCGGTGGTCTTCTGAACTTATAAAGTATGAGGTACTCCTGTATGGTGACCTTATGATATTTTAAAATTGATTTTAGTGAGAGAGAGAGAGAGAGGGAGAAACATCATTTTTTGTTCCACTTATGTATGCATTCATTGTTTGCTGCTTGTACGTATGCATTCATGCCTTCAGGGTTCAAACCCACAACCCTGGCCTATCAGGACGACACTCCAACCAACTGAGTTAGCTGGCCAGGGCTTGGTGACCTTATAATTTATTGCCTAAATTGGAAAGCCCTTTTGAGAGTGACAGGTGGCACTAATTAAAAAGGATTCTGAGCCAAAAGGCACAAACTGGGACTGTCTAGGAAAACTGAGATGGACTGTCTGCTGACCCTCGTGCGCCTCTGCACTTGAGCGCGTTCCTCACAAAGGCGAAAGCACACCCTCCACACCATCGGTCCGTGCAATGCGCTCTCGGAGCCCCGCTCCTGCTGTCCGACTTCGTTCAGGGCTCCTTTCCCCAGGAGCCTGTCTGTCTGGCTTCTGGGGGGTCTCATGCAGGGCCAAGTGTAAAGGGCCCTCTTGGAGCCTCTGTCCCCCACCGCATAGCCTACCTCCACGAGACAGTCTGTCCTCCTGGCTAGGAAACTCCTGCACCCGCTTCGCTGTGTCATCTGGGACAGGCTGGGCGTTTGGCATCTCCTGCGAGGCCAGAGGGCTCTGCCCAGTATCCAGCCTCCTGGGGCCCCATCCGCCCCTTCCTCCGGCAACCCCACCCCCACCCCCGGGGCGCTAGTCTAGGTGACCTGTAGGGCAGGAAGGCCTGTCTGCACCCAACCCAGGGCAATCCCTTTCATCTGGGGCAGACTGATCTCTCTTCAAGCCTTGCTCCAATTTGGACTCATATCCCCTTTCTTTCCTTCAAACCCCACCGTCCGATGAGCACAGGGACAAATGTCAGGAAGTGCTGCGGCCAATCTCGTGAAATGGGGAGGAGAGGGGAGAGGAAAGGAGGAAAGAACAGTAACAGCTCCCAAAGCCATCTCACCACACCACTGGAAAGCCAGAGGTTCTGGGACACCGGTCTGGCCTGCTTGGCGAGGGGCTCCTCCGGCCACCTGGACCTCGGTGGGTCCAGCGGCCGTGTCTCCTACAGCCGTGAAGACGTGCAGAATGCTGCGTGGTAATGAAGCGGTTCCGCAGCTGTGCTGCCCCACACAGCAGCCACAAGCCTGACATGGCTGATGAGCACTTGTGATGTGCTTTTTATCTAATATTAACTAATTTAAATTGACACAGCTCCGAGTGGCTATCATACTGGAGAGCCCAGTTCCCGAGAACTTGTTGAACAGGAGCGGTATCGTCCAACTGCCGTTTCAAAGACAGTGCTGGACAGACCATGGCCTGGCTACGGGAAGAGTGGAAGCGGGAGGTGACCACACCGTCCCCGGGGAGAGAGTGTGACTGTGGACTGAAGTGCTTGTAGAGGCGAATGAGGCCCGCTGGTGGCTGGGCCACCCAACGGGTCTTCCTATCTGGTCATCCATCCTACAAATATGTTTCCTCAGCCCCTGGTCTCAGCTCTTTTGGACGCTGGAGCGGGGGTGGCGTCTTAGTCAGTTGGGGCTAAACAAAAAATGCTTATTACCATATTTTGTCATATATAATGCACACTTTTTTGCCCGAATTTTTGCGGGGAAAGTAAGGGTGTGCATTATACCTGGGTAGCACCTGAAATAACCTATATCTGCTCTTGTGTTTTGTAATAATTTGTCTCCTAAAATTTCTTGTATCATAACATGTTAAAAAAATAAATGCTAAATTCTTTTATAATACAAAAAAAGTATTGAAATAGAAGTAATTAAATTAAGAAATTAAAATGAAAGACTTTTTTTCCTGAAAGTTTGAGCCAACAACATGGGCACACATTACACACGGCAGAATACGGGCTCACCGCTCGGCAGGCTGGGAAGTTCGAGATCATGACGCCACCAGATTCCGTGTCTGGGGGGACCCGCTTCCTTGTCCACAGCAGTCTTCTCACTGGGGGTCTCCCTGGGATGGGTCCTTTGATAAGGACACTACCCATTCATCCCCACCTCCCAACGCCCTCACCTTTTAAGATGCCAACCCAGAACTTTGCAGGGCGGGGCACAAAGATTCAGTCCATAGCTGATGAAAAAGATTCTTTCTGACCCCAAATCAGGTAATCCCATCAAAGCGCTGCAGGATTTTGGCTTCTCCCTCTGACCCTGACTATCTCAAAAGTTGCCCCCATTCAGAGAAAAAATAAAGCATCTTCTAAGGTCAGAAGTCCTCACAATTTTTAATCTCCCAGAGTTACTTGGATACATTTGATATATAAATAGAACAGATGTATTTCTCCTTTTTTCCTCCCTATTAAGAATAACCTAGTTCTCCCTCTGTCTAGTTGTACTCAGCACCCTCTGAACTCAGGGCTCAGCTGCAGGTAGGCCTTCAACCGCTGCCTGGCGTGTCCCCAGGGCCTGCTTTCCCATGCGTGTCACCTCCCCAGGACCAGGACTGCGGCAGGCCTTCCCTCTCACCCCACTGCCAGTATCACTGGGGAAGGACAGGAGAAAGAGAGGGAGAGAAACATCGACATGAAAGAGAAACGTCAATCAGCTACCTCTCATACACGACCAAACCTGCAACCCAGGTAGGTGCCCTGACTGGGAAATGAACCGGTGACCTTTTGCTTTGCAGGGTGACGCTCAGCCCACTGAGCCACACCAGCCAGGGCAGCATCACTGGGCATTGCCAGACTGGCTTGTTCCCTGAGGTTTCCTCTATGTGCGTTCTCTTGTACCCCCCATTGAATGCCAGTGTCTCATAATTCTTGTTTCATTGAGAAAAATGCTGGACTCCTCTTCTAGGCTGACCTCCACCCCTGACCAAAGGATATCAACTGCTTTTAGGGTGAAGCTGCACGGGGAAGGGGGACAGAGCCTCCTTGCTGGCCTCGTGCCCGTCCCACCCCTGGATTCTCTAGGCTGGGGAGCAGAAGCACGCCGCTCTGGTGAGTGCAGACACTTGTGTGAGCTTCGTGTTTTGCATGAACTTTAATTTGCATTCTTTGATGAAAATACATGCTACTTCTGTACGTTTTGAATAAAGTTATTTTTGAAAATCCCGCGGGTCACAATGAAGGACATATAAGATCATAATAGAAATACAGAATACAAAAGGAGAGGTTAGAACACAAAAAAAGCTAGAAAGAGCAAGAAATAGAAAATCTTCAGAGAGGCGGCCCATTTACAATTTTAAAACTCCATAATAATCAAGTGAGCACAAACAGGACATTGCACATTCTTTATTTAATGAAAATTTAATTACCGACAGAACAATGAAAATCTATATGAAAACCGTTCTCATCAAATCCACCACAGGAGAAGGTTGAAATCCCTGCGATTTTACCCTCTTTGTTAAAAATGTAATTACTGAGCAAAACAATAGGACCACAGCCGAGCCTGCGGTTGTAGGCTAGTCCCAGCCTCAGAAACATCAGGGGGCGCCCCACGAACACCAGGGGTGCCCCACAAACATCAGGGGGCACCCCACAAACATCAGGGGGCGCCCCCCGAACACCAGGGGGCCTTCGGAGGGCAAGGGCAGAGACACTGGGGGTCTGGTGCTCTCTGTCGTACGTGGCATGAAGTTACCATGGGGTCTTAGAGAGGAAGGCCTCGAACAGAGATGGTAAAAATGGTAGAGGAACTAGGGTCCAAAAAGGGTCAGACGTCACGGGGCGTAGGACAATTTCAGCAGGATACAAGAGAAGTGAGTGTTGAGAGAAGTAACAGAAAGGCTTCAAAACCAACCAACCCTGAGAGCACTTTCTTCTGCTGGACAGAAGGATGAGGGTTTTCTTTCAAGAGACCTTCCTTTCAGATGCCTTTGGAACATTCTGGCTTCGTCATGATAATGAATTCTGCCCTCTGAGACCCGGTGGGGAATGTCCTGGTGCTTGATTTGGGTTCAGGTTCTCACAGGCAGCGTTATCAGTCAGGGGCGATGAAGTAGGCTTGCTCCGAAATTTCTGTTCTTTTGGAGAAATTTGCCTTGGATGGCTGAGACCCAGTAGAAATTTCAGACCAAAACATTAGCCGGGATGAGGCAAACGTGTGCATATATTCAGGGTCACTGAGGTGAGAAATGTGTTAACCCAGAGGCAGCATAAATGCCCACCCCAAATGAGGACTTCTGAGAACTGGACAATAAATGAACCGAGCCTGCATTGTTCACATATTGTTAAAAAAAAACAAAACAAAAACCTGCCAGGTGGCTCAGTTGGTTGAAGTGCCAGCCGACACACTGAAAGGTTGTGGGTTCGATCCCCAGCTGGGGCACGTATGAGAGGAAACGAATCGATGCTTTTCTCTCACACTGAGGTTTCTCTCTCTCAAATCAATAAACAGACCCGCAGGTGAGGATTAAAAAAGCCCCACCCGTGCGTGGCAACTGTTTGACTATTGGTACATTTCAACCTAAGTGCCCAGACTTCTTGCCCTTCGGACAAGTGCAGGCTCGTTTCAGTCTGAAAATACCCTTTATCACAGAAAACATTTAAAATGAGCTCAGCAGCGATGGAAACCCACAGAGTTGGAAAGACGGAGTATCCGCATGCGAGGGAACGCACCCTGCACCTCTAGGGCTCACGTGCTCGTTCTAAAGCGAACACACGGGCAGGAAACAGAGGAGGCGCGACGGCAGGACCTCGATAAACAGCAGAATTTCCACTGATGGGGAAGGAAAGCAGAAGAGAAGGGCCAGGCAAATGGCGGAGGAGCTTTGACAAAAGCCAAGGAAGCAGAGAGCTCTAGGAAGGAGAGGCGTCTGGAATGGACGGAGCAGGCCACCAAGGGAGGGTGAAAAGCTCACTTCTGAGAGCGCTGTTTAAATCCACTGACAGAAGGGAAGGCCAGGTAAAAACAGGTAGAAGGGGCCGGCGGTGAGTGAGGACGAGGGGCTCCCGTGCAGCTGGCGACCACTGTCCAGCCTTTCGGCTGGTGCCTTGGGAGGGGTTTGCTTTTCAAGGATGGGGGAGACTTGGACACCTCTGTGGACTGAAGGACAGAGAGCCAGTCGGACTGAATAGGCCACAGAGAAGTTACGAGAAGCATGACCCATGTTCTCAGGGGAGGTCTTCTCTTCCTCTTTTTCTCTTTTTGGTGTGACTGACCCACATTCTCAGTAAAATTTAGGAGGCAATAATTCAATTGAGGTAGGCAAATGTTTCCCTAAAGGACCAGATAGCAAATATTTTAGGCTTTGCGAGCAAGAGGCAAAATTGAAGATACCATACAGACATTTATATACCATTTTACATGTAAAAAATTATAGTTCCCAGGTCATAACAAACACAGGCAGTTGTCGTAGTGCGCCCACCCAATTTAAACTATGGACCCGGGACCTTCAACTTCAGAACTTTGTAATTGTTTTTTCTCCTGGGAATGAGTATTTCATATATAAGAAAATATTCCCTTTGAATGCTTCAGGTCAAGTCACATAAAATTAAATTGCAAGACAAGATGCTAACCAACCCCAAGAGCAGCACAGAGCCGTTCCAGGGAAGTCTGGCTTGGCAAAGCTAGCCCTGCTGCGTGCAGAGCGGGCATTTAAACCTGCTCCATGTGCTTCGCCCTTGGAAGTCACATCCCCTTCCAGTCCCCCCGTGGCAGAGTCTAGTCTCCCCTGGGGCTGAAAGGAGCTGCCTCCTCGGCTGTGGTCATTCAAGAAAATCAGGAAAATCAGTTAAAGGAAAAATGACACACAAAAGTGAAAAATTCTGATAACTATATATGGTAGCTTTAATCTGATTTATTTCCAATCACAGAAGTAATATTACCTTGAACTACAATTACACAAGCACCACTGTATCCCATTATAAAAACGCAAGTGGGGACGGTGCCAGCGACCCCACGGCTGCCTTCTGTACCCCGAGTCCCAGCACCACCAGCAGTGCAGTTTGGCGCGGGGACTGGACTTTCTGGGTTCATTCTCAGAATGTATATGCACTAAAAATGATGGCTTCTTACAGTTCTGCAGAAACATGCGATTTGTAATTGTGAAACAAGACAATTTGGTGATGCTTTGGTCTCCGTATGTGAACCTTGTTCTTTTAAATTGCTGCATAGGATCGTATTGTGCATTTCCGTGATTTGTTTACGCTCCTGCGCAGCCATGTCTAGTTTTTCACCACTGCCGATGATGCTGCCCGGAGGTCTGATACACCTTCCTGTCCATCCTCCCAGGAGCACTGAGTTGAGTGAGATGGCCCGGCTTCCCATGATTCTTGACAAGTTGTACTCTGTCTTTTTGTTTTCTATTTAACCAGTTCTTTCAAGTTATGGTTAGCTTTTTCATATCCTGTTATATACTGATCACTATGTGTAGTGAACATGTAAAATTTTGTTTTTGGTCCTGGCTGGGTGGCTCAATTGGTGGGAGTGTCCTCAATGCACCAAAAGGTTACAGGGGCGGGTATGAGAGGCAAATGATCCACCCTTCTCTCTCACATCGATGTTTCGCCTTCTCTCTCCCTTCCTCTCTGAAAAAGTAATGAAAAAATAATATCCTTGGGTGAGGATAACATTTTTTTTCCCTTTTTGGAGTTTGCAGAAATTTTCTTTGTGGTGAAATTCAAATGACTGTCCATTTGCATTAGAAAAGAAACAAGTTCTCCCTCCATCTATCAAACTGAATTGTGCTCTCCAAATTCTCTCGCCTGTTCTAGCTTTTTTCTACTCCACGGAGGGGCTGACCCCTAAGTCAACGCCTAAGGCAATGGCTCTGGATGTTTTCCAGTGTGTTTCTATTTGTTTTGCTCCAGGGAGCTGTTATATTGTTAGAGACAAAAACTTCGTCACTGCTGGACCTTCTCAGTAAACTCTGCCTGTTTTGTTACATCTTTTTTGTTCTTTAACATTATTTTTGCCCTTAATTCTGTTTCATTTGATGTCCACATGGCTATTCCTGCTTTCCTTTTTGTAGTACTCGAATGGTCATTTTGACTTTCCTGTGCTGATTTTTTTTTTACGGTGTTTTTGACTTTTGGTAGCTAGGAGTTCAATTTGCCTCTGTCCTGTGTTAACATCTGTTGCTTTTTTAAAAAACAATTTTATTGATTTTATTTTTTAGAGAGGAAGAGAGAAAGAAAGAGAATCATCGATTGGCTGCCTCTCGTATACGCCCTGACCAGGGACCGAACCCACCACCCAGGCATGTGCCCTGACCTGGAATCAAACTGGTGACCTTTTGCTTTGCAAGCTGACACTCAACCAACTGAGCTACATCAGTCAGGGCCATCTTTTATGTTTAATAGGTGACTTTAACCCATTTATACCTATAAGTACTACTATGTTTGGCTACACTCCTAACTTTATTTTCAACTTATTTCTTAAAAAAAACAAAACAAACTTTCGAAAGGTTAGTTGTTTTCCTCTATTACTGTAGCTATCCATACGAATAAATAACTGCAATTCACGCCGCCTGTAAGCACCACACAGATTTGTCAATCTCTGTCATTCTTCCTCCCTTGGCACAGCTTCTAGGTAACTCCAAAGAAGTGAATCTTTGCTTTGTATTTCCCTAGCTCCTTCTTCAGTAGCGCTTTTCTCACCCTTCCATTGCCTCCATCCACCTCCTCCCCCGTTCTTTCTCCCAAAACACATGCACTCCCACAGCTATTTGTCCGGCAGGCACCATTCTCAGCTGGAAAAGATCTGAAAGTCCACCCTGAGGAATCATTCACACCGATCAAGGGCTCGTTGGCAGTGGCATTTCACTGGAAGGCCCCTGGAGACTACCAGACCTCAAAGGCCCATCAGCCAGACTGCCCGAGTGTGAATCCCATTTCTGTCCTAACAAGTATCTTGTTTAACGTCTCCTGCCTCAGTCTCCCTGCCTGTAAAATGGGTTAATAAGAGCACCCACCGCATAGGGGTGCTGTGCGTTAATGCGTGTCGAGAATACGGAATAATGGCTGGCACATGATGAGAGCTCAAGAGACGTCAGTACTTACTGGCATCGGTCTAACGGCTCTAAAGAAATACTTTTGCCAGGGTTGGCCTTGGTTGTTCCCTACTCAATCTTTGTGTCAGGATGCACTAATACCAGAAAAAGAACCCCTGAGGTGAACACGCATTTTCATATCGATCTGGCCTTACTCATCTCTGCACAGCAGCCTGGTGCCTGCAGCACCTTGGACCCTTGGACACCGTGACCTTTTGTCACATGTCACTGAACGACAAAAGAAAAGCCAGGATTGATATCTAGATTTCTAAAGTAATGCAGGAAACAACAGGGAACAGGTAGGCAGGAATCTCCTGCGGCGCCGGACTGTAGCGCATCACCAGGTAGAAGGCGCAAGGACGGGAGGTTTCCCGAAGCAAAACCGTGAAGCAGTGGCCCCCAGCCTTTTCGGCACCAGGGACTGGTTTCGTCGAAGACAATTTTTCCACAGACGGGGGTGGGGGGTAGGGGGCAGTTTCGGGATGATTCAAGCGCACTGCATTCAAGCTCACCTCCTGCCGTGCGGCCCGGTTCCCGACAGGCCCGGACCGGTATCGGTCTGCGGGTGGAGGTCAGGGACCCCTGGTATAAAACACAGGCATGAGTACCCGCCAGACACAATCAGTGCTGTGAAGATGTGCTCAGACAGGGTGACCTCTCCGCCAAAGAGTTGCTTATTTCGCTTTAGGAAAAAAAAAATGATCTTCTGATAAAATTTTCTGTAGCACCAACAATTAAACTTGATCTTCATTATAAAACCTCTGCTCTGAAAACAAACAAGATTGGCTTACATGAGAGGCAAACTATTCAAGTTTCTGTTCAAGTCTCCGTCTTCTAAGCCTCACGACAGCCTACACCCCAAATTCACCGGCAGTGAGGACAGGCTCCGGGAGGGGAACAAACTTGTCCGCCACCAGACACAAAGTCAGGATGGGTAGTTTTAAAGACACCAAAATCATGGTTATTAGGCAAAGCCGTAATGCAAGTTCTACAGGGAAAATCCATAACATCTTTGGGAAATGGTAAATTAACACAGTGGTTCACTAACAGAGGAAGCTAGGTACATAAATTGACTGAAATACACACTTTTCAACTGTTCTTTATGAACATGCACAAAAAATACACACACAGTCAGAACACTATCAGTACTAAGTATAAATTCAAGGTCCATCAGGGTGTCCAGCCCATGCTACACACGGCCGCACACAAAACAGTGAATTTACTTAAAACTTTTGTCTTTTGCTCATCAGTTTTCGTTAGTGTTTGTGTATTTAATGTGTGGCCCAGAGCCGCCAAAAGGCTTGACACCTCCGGTCCTGGGAGGCTTCCTGGCGTTGCTCGTCCAGTCGCTCACGAGGCTCACCACGGTTTCACACGCGTGTTCATGCGTTTATGATTCCACGGGAGCAAGGCGAGATTCTTTTTCACTAATGTTGACCTCTGCTCCATCACCTGCCGAGCCCACCTTTCCCACAACCCCAAGTCCCCTCGCTCTGGAGCATTTCATCCACCCCCTCCTTCCCTTCTCGGGCTCCTCTGCCCTTTGTTCCGAAAGACAGAACAGGCGGGTCTCCACTGTGTTCCTGTTTGAAAGCTGAGTGGATGCTATCTCTTTGGATCTGAAGTCTAAATTTGCCCTTATTCGTTCCTAATATTTTAATGTAATTCCTCCCTCAATTGTATTTACACAATTCTGAATATTTAACTACGATTTGCATTACAGAAATTAATCCAGTTCAACAAACATGAATGTGCAAAGCAAAATGACTTTGAAAATCTCGTTTTCCTAATAAACGCTACCCTTTCATTTAAGTGCTAAAGTGCTTCCCATTGAACAGCAGTGGTTATGAGCCTTGAAATGTTTCCAGCATCGCCAACCCAGGCCTGCTTGCAGAAAGTGTGAAAGTCCAACCTCTCATCTGCCCACCTCCCTCCTGAGGGGATCTCAGGACATGCGCCCTAGAGGGGCCTCTCTGGACCGGGAGTCCCCAGTACGAAGACACGGCACCAGCTATATACCTTGTTGACCTTTGCTTTTCTGTAATTTGCACTGTAAAGCAATACATTTATTTTTGCTTCTCAAGATATAAAATTATTTTTGTGTATGTTTTTATATGACTGAATATGCTTTTTCAACCTCTAGGGCCTCATTCCTCATGACGTGTTGGTACAGTTCTTTGTGGGGACAAGACATCTCTCCCTCTTGAGAGTCACTGACCCAAACAGAGCACAACTTTTGAAGCACGAGCCCTGATAAAGCCCAGTATCTGAGCTTGAGGAAACAGCATTCAATCTGATACACAAAGAAACCGCGCTGCTGAAAATCGGTGCGTGAAGATGAATATTACAATATTAGACATATTCTGATTACAAACCAAATTATTTAAGCTTCACACTTGAGAACTAATGCAGAGGCTTGTTTCTGAAATGATCTGCTGAAGCCATCATAAAATGCCTCTTCTACACAGGTCACTCACTGTCACACATGACATTACCTTGTTTTGTTAATGTTTTCTTCACTTATTTGACTTACAGAGTTGTACCCTTAGTTTTCATCCATTCTCAGGCACTTAGGACTAGAATATTTAGATTTTTCTAAATAAAAATTTTATCGGTTTCTACCTCATACAGCAGCTTAGAATTGAATTTATCTGTCCTGTAGAATTGCCAAGTGTAACAAATATTTCTGACTAATGCCAGGAAATAAAGTTTTAACAGGACTATACAATGACCATCCGTGTCTCCAAATGCTGACAGAGTGAGGCTGGTGTGCTCCCCGGAGCTGGAACACCGAGCTTTAAACAAGGCCTTCTCGGGACGGTATGGATACACTTCTCCCCAAACTTTAAAAATGGTTTCCTGTGCCAAGGTTAGGCAGACCTGAAGGATGACATAGAAAAGGGCTCCCCAAGACCCATGGACTATGGGCTTAAACAGATCACTTCATTGCTCTGGCGGTTGACTTCCCCAGAGGGCACGAGAGTTTAAAACGTTGCACGGGTGGCCCCAGGGAGGACCCACCCCTGCGGCGGTCAGTACTGCGCGTCGATGAGCTTGGCGATGGTGTTCAGCTGGATGTTTGACGCTCCCTCATATATTGTACCTTCAACACAGGGGACAGTGAGGAGCGGGTCACAGTTAGGCGTGGACATGAGGACGAGCTCTACAAATGCTACCTTTTCATTTGCTACAAAACCATCACTGGTAATGGCACTCGGCATGCCCTGAATGCGCTGACGGAGTAATTTTTGTCTAAAAGATGACGATTTTCCATTTGGAAATTAAATTCTGATTCCAGACTCGGCACTAAACGGGTGGAGGCTTCCATCCCAGAACGACCCATGCAAAAGCCGGATACCTGGGCTCGCCGTTCAGGAACAGGCGGCTTCCACTCCACTCCCTACCTGGGAGCAGAGCACCGGGTCTGGGGGGCACTTACCTTCGGAAATCAAAACTTAGGTTTCGAAGAAGAGCATTAAGCGAATCCAAAATAGTGACATTTTTGGCAAAAGAAACATTAATACAGATTTTGTGGTGGTTTGACTAAAAGGCCTGTTGAGCCATTGAAAAAGGCAATTTGATGTCTTTAAAAATATAAATCCACTGTTTTGAAGGGAGAGGGGGGAAACCCAGCCACAGAAAAGAAGCGAGGCGCACAACCCTGCAGAGGAGAAACTGGCCCCTGAACCAGTAACACCAGCCAAACACAACAGCCCAAACACTTGTGGAAGCAAACGACACAAAACAGAGAAAGCCCACTTACCGATCTTTGCGTCTCGGAAGTATTTTTCCACAGGGTAATCTTTGGTGTAGCCCACGCCTCCCATCCACTCGATACACTTACTAGTGGTCAGTCCTGCAACCTGCCAAAAAGAAGCAGCCAATCACCCGCTGAAACCACATGACTTAGGCGTTACGAACACTCAATGCGGTGGGCAGATAAAGTGGAAAAGATCTAGTAGCCGGCACTTGACAGGGAGGTGCGGGCAAGGGAAAGAGTAAACTCGGCACAAACTGCCGAGGCTGGGGAATGGCAGCCCAGTGACATGGAGAAGTCCCCCGGCCCACGCCCGTGCTCCGTACACAAGGCGCATGTAGGACCCGAGCACCGGGAGTGTGGCGTTCCCACTGCGCCTCTCCGGGGCCCTCCCGTGCCCTGCCGTGGAACCATGCGGGTAACGGGACTCAGACCAGGCCCAGCAGGGGACTGATGACGGATGGCCCTTCCACCTGCCTCAGGTGACCTGGTTTCCACCGAAGATCCTGTGAGAGCTTCGAGGCCTCACAGAATTAAAGCACTTTCCTGTGGAAGCTTTACTTTTTCTTTGCTGCTCTTGTAGGAACTGTAAAGTCCATGTTATTTTGCTTGAAAAACAAACAAATGCTCAACCGATATTTCTAAGTGAATAGCTGAGTAAATATGTATCTGAATTTCCGTTTTTTCCTTACCTCTGACGCATAGTATTTGGCCATAGCTGCCTCTTTTATGAACAGTTTTCTGGCTTGGACAAGGCGAGCGGCGTTGTAGGTCAGCAGCCTCGCAGCTTCCAGCTGGACGGCCACCTGAGCCACCTGGTGCTGGAGTCCCTGTCACATGGAGGCCCGGGTTAGAGAACTGCGATTTCTGACATCCCAGCTTAGCCGCAAGAGCCTGCCTGGGTATGGACTAGTAACAGACTCAAAATACACCCCAAAGGAAATGCATGTTCGTTTTGTGAAAATACTTTAAAATCCCCCATCTGAACTGAACTATACTATAGGTACTGTTGAAGAATTTTTCATAGTTCATGTAAGTCTTTATAACTGTGATGATTTGAAAACATAAATGATCACAAAATTAGGTTTAAAAATTTGATTTATATTTAATAATTATTTTCAACCCTATGATCCACATCGAGGTTAAACAAAACTCCAGCAAAGCAAAAATTTGAGTACATTTTTCATTTGCTTGAATTGACAAAATTTTGCTCCTGCACACGGTCCCTCCCCTCAAGCAGCCCAACGTCTAGAGAAAAGACAGGATTGTAGGCAAAGCAAAAACCAAATCACTCTAATGAGAGTAAAGCAGTTAGAAAAAAACTCTACTAACTTTGATCAAAGCTTCACACGGATATGTAAAACTAATGATGCTGCTTTGCATGATCAAATTTCTAAGAGTTTTCTTTTAATGACCCATACCAGGCATCTTCAAAAACGTCATGATTACAGGCATTAGCACGCCTGGCCCTCCTCCCTCCCTCCCTCCCTGCATGTAAATGAAAACTTGGCTTCCTGTGTGCAAAGGAGACTCGCAGCCTCTCTCAAAACGGTCTTCACGTTCTGTCTCCTTTGTTGCAATCGATGTGGTGGCTGGCTCCGAGAAAGCACTCGAGCATAACAAAGTGAAAATTAGCCCAGCAGCCATGCCAAGAAGCCTGTATGTAACTCTGACAGGTCTGGCAAGGTGCGCAGGAAAACTGCCTACTGCCGCCACTAATCCCACCATGGCCTGGGGAGCTCGGAGAAGCCAGGCCATTGGGCCAGGCCGGTATTACCCAATGTGTTTGACGTAAGAGCACCGTGTTTGTGCTCACGGCAGCCAAGTATACCTTCCAAAAGATGGGCGCGTCAGACAGGGTGGGGTCTTCTGAGGACTACTGCACAACTCTGGCCGGACTCCCAACAACTGTTAATCTCTGGAACACGTGTTAAACTCAGGCAATGTGGTAACACTGTGCTCATCTGTCTTATTCCAAATCACTGCAGAGGGTAGGCAGTATTACCTTTACCTTGCTGATGAGGCAGTCAGGGCTTAGAGAGGCAAGGGAACCTGTCCAAGGCCTAAAGCTAGTAAAACAAAGCACCAGGACTTGAACCCAGGAAGTCTGACTGCAGACCCCAGGTCCTGGATCTTATGAGGCTGCGAGAAGATAGCTCCAAAGCCCTCACCGGGTATCCTGGATGATGACATAGCTGGGCCTCAGGGGCTACTGTTCTGCCCTTGAGGAGGTCAAGGTTTTCATAAGCACATGCCCTGAGATCTAGTCCTTCCTCCCTCCACAGCTTCGTAACACTGCTGTTCATCAACAGGGAGACAGGTGAGTCCAGTCCAGTAAAAATATGTTAATAATTAGATACCTGAAAGTCAAATAATCTTTTGCCAAACTGTATCCTTTCTTTAGTATATGGAACAGTGTAGTCAAAACATCCTTGAGCCAATCCCAGCATCTGTTTAAAAAAGAAATCAGAATTTCTTATTTTGTTATAAGCTTATGCTTTTAATTATTCAAGTTATAAATTCCTTTTGCGGGCAAATTGAAGAGTTTGGGGAGGGAAGAACCGGAGATCCCAAGGTGGTGAGGTGTGTGTTAATAACCTTCATCCACTGCTTTGCAGAACTCTGCTTCTAGAGACTGGGAGAAAAAGAGTGACTTCACATGAAAACGAGCACATTTAACTGCAGCGCAGAGGGAAATCTCCAGCGTGGCTGTGCTCACATAACCAGGTCACTTTCCAGAAAACTCCCCCTTCCTGCTCCGATTCTCCAGGCAATAAAGCAAGCCGCAGAAACGGCTCGGAACTGGCTGCAAAGACGTACAGTGGCGCCTGGAGCCCTTCTACAGGTCAAATGTGGAAGGCCACTTCTTAACCTTCTACCTTCTGGTCCATCTGAGCAGGATTAGTAAAGGCGTCGTTTGAAAGAGCATTAGAACATAGGAGAGAGGAGCTTCTCAATCCCGGCGGCCGTCGGAACCATCTGGGGGCGCTTCATCACAGAATACCTGCACGGGGGTCTAACCATGGAGCCCAAACCCGAGGGGGGGGGTCGACGGGGGCGGAGGGGGTGTGGCCTAAGCACCAACCAGCACTGTAGAAACTTAGGTGATTTCACGCAGAGCAAGGGTTGAGAACAACTCAGAGAGAGCAAGTGCGAAGAACAGGTCCGGACATGCTGGCCGTGGGAGCCAAACTTTCTCACTGCTAACCAATTTCCGTGTCTATTGAACGATCCAAGCTTAGAAACGGTTTCTAAACTTCAACATTAGCAAGCTATTAAATCACTATCTAATTATGTCAAACTACAGAGGTTTCGAAAAAAGGAAAAAAGAATCAATAGTTAAAGCTTTTGGGGGAGATGCCCACACACACATCAATATTTCATTAGTATTCGTTCACATTTTCCTTTAGCCTTTTAATTGAAACTTTCTGGAGAACAGAATGTCACGCTGAAAATTAACGAACAAAAACAAACAAAACTCCAAAGGAACAGATTGAAGTGAGGCCGAATCACTGCACTTTTGGCCGTGAGGGAACGTGACGTCATTACACCCTTATAATGAAAGTTTATAGTCTGTTCATAATGTCCCTCATTGACACGGAAATTAAAGTGATCAGCTGTCAATCCAAACAGGCTTTTCCACTTCTGTGAAATGTTTTCACTGTAAATACTGGAGAAATAAATTCTCTCCAATGCCAGATTTGAGGATGGATGCCTTCAGTTCCCTGTGACATATGCCTCTTTCATTAAAAGGCACCCACAGTATGAACAAGAAATAATCACCACCTGACCATAACTTCTAATTAGCTTACAAGATGGCTTGGAGTAATTAGTAAAATACAAGCCCTGGCTGTATATTTTACTAGCAAAGCATCTATATTATTTATATGTCTTGGAACAATGAGAGCCAGTACTGTAATACCATATTTGAAGTTGAACCACAGGAAAACTTTAAAAAAGAACTGATGAACCAATTCTCTCCAGTAACATCTAGTTTTGTGGGGAAGTGTGCATTACAATCCAAGAATATTTTGTTAGCAAATTAACAGCAGTGAAAAAATCTAGAGTAACACTATCGCACTGAATTAATTCAACAGTTAATAAATATGTAATATCTGTAATGTATATGTAATATACATGTAATGGATATATAATACATATGTAACATCTTCAAAATCCAAAAGCTCTTCAGTTTTTGAATTTTGAATGCTCACTGATTTAAAGTAAATAAATATATTCTACAAAAATGCCAATTTATACTAAAACCAAAGACTATTCATTTCCTTAATTTAGGAAATAACTGCTGTCACAATAGAAACATATGTAATACGCATTACAGAGAACAAAGACGGTAAAAACGTGTACAGTTCTCGTCTTACATATCTACTTAATTGTGGCTGTTCTACGTCAAGTGTCACGTCCACTCAAGAAGTGCCCCGTTTTCACATGTAAAACCCTAATCCACAAATTCCTCATTATCTATAGATTAGCAGCTTTTACTACATAGTGCAATATTATTTATCAGTAATTTAAAAAATTTCTTCCAGGATGAGTTTCACGCTTTGAAAAGTTGGTTTTTTAAAAAGTTGAATTTACCGGGGGGACACTGGCTAATAAAATGATACAGGTTCAAAGCAGACAACGCTCAGCACACTGTCTGCGTATCCCATTGTGTGTTCGCCGCCCCAGTCGGTCTCCTTCCGTCCCGTTTTTATCCCCGCTTTGCCCCGTCCTGCGTCCCCACCTCCTCTTCCCTCTGGCAATGACCATACTGTTGACTAGGAGCTTTTTTTCTTAGTCCCTTCACCTTTTCCACCCAGCTGCCCACCGAGGCCCCTCTGATAGCTATGAGTCTGTGGACAAGTAGATGTTTTACAAAATACCGTATTTATGCCCCAGCCGGGTGGATCAGTGAGTTGGAGCACCGTCCCCCACACCGGGAATTTGTGGTTTCGATTCCTGGTCAGGGCCCAGGCCGAGGTTGCGGGGTTTGGGCGCGTCCGGGAGGCGACTGATCGATGTTTCCCTCCCTCTGTCTCTCTCTCTCTCCCCTCCCCCCTCTCTCTGTCTTTCTCTCTCTCCCCTCCCCCCTCTCTCTAAATATCAACAGAAACACGTCCTCGGGTGAGGACAAAAAAAATACCGTGTTTATGATATATTGTAGAAGTTCTCACTCCAGGTGTTGGATAACACTTTAATGTTCTTAAAAAAGAAAAACTGCTACTGCTTGGCCATTGTTTGCTTTCCAGGACATTATGTAATCAACCAAAATGGAATTTTAAAGAAATCATAGAAGCCCTTCTTTGGCCTCATGGAAGGAATGGGCGCCCTCTTGTGGTCGCAAGCCTTCAGATACTCCTGGGTTTCACCGCATTTTCCCCTCCCCACGTTTGCATCCGCCAGCTCTGCTGGGGACCACGGCCGAAGGGAACTGACCTGGGCAGCGATCCCTATTCTGCCCTCATTGAGGCTCTCTATGGCGTACTTATAGCCGCGTCGGACTTGCCCCAGGATATTGGCTTCCGGAACCTGAAAAAAAAAATGCAGTTATTTCTCAACTTAGTTTCATTTAGTTCACTTTGATTTTATATCTTTAAAGGCACACATACTCCCAGTCTGTGTGATATTACTCCAGCATCTACGTCAGCTCCAAGGAAATAGGCGGTGGAGTGCCTGCGTCTCCCAGGGAACTGTTTCCCACCAGCTCTTGGAGAGAACAGGACACCGCGGCCTCCTCCAGAGCCTGGCAGGCAGCTGCCGGAGGAATGAATGAACCTAGAAAAGGGGGATCCCCTACAACTCATCAATAACACAAAGGAGTAACCTTGTTCCCAGTTCTTATCTGCATGGTGTAGTGTGAGAATTACATATATACAGATATATAAATTACAGAAAATATGTAAGTAGTTGGCAAACATGGATAGTAATACTTTCTTCTGCTGAGATGAGGTTATCCTAAAAACTTAACTGATGGGTGTGTTTATGCATGTGTACATACAGAGGAGGGAAATGGGGGAAGATTGTAATGTTTATTTATAATTTAAAAAATCTACACTAGAAATAAAAAAATACAGTTAGCTTAAATGACATGGACAGTTAGGGGAGAGACCGGGCAGAAAAGAGAAAGCAGCAAGAAGGAGGACAGCTGGCGAAGTGCGGAGCCTCAGATGACACCAGCAAAGGCAGTCTGCAAACACGCACGCCCAGCCGCGCGGGGGAAGGACCAAGCGAGTGGCAGAGAATGCAGAGCCGCGGGGTCCACGGCCCAGGAGTCCTAAAGCACCAGCCTCCTCTTCCTCATCTCTCACAGCCTCCACGCAAAACCCGGTGCTGCCTGGTGGTTTCCACTCTCTCTGAGCAACAGCCCCATCTTGTGGCCTATCGGACACCAGGCTTCCTTCCCTGAAGCCCAGTTGGTTTACAAGGATCAAATTCATTATAACCAGGGTTAATTCTTGGTATTGGCTCTCCAGGCCAAGCTGTGGGGCACAAGGCTTCCACTCCTGGCCTGAACTCTTGTGAAAAGTAGATTTAGTCCTGCCCTTACCTAAGGATGGTGTTCAAGCCTCTTACAAAATCCTCTCCATTGCATGCTTAATGTTTGGACGCCTTTTCTGCACATCTATGGTTCCATGCAAACCTTATTTCACATCCGTCGGAATTTTACTAGAAATTCCCAGATACCCACCTTGACGTTTTCGAATGTTAACGGGCAGGTGGAAGAAGCTCTGATTCCCAGTTTGTTCTCCGCTCTCCCTATGTGGAAGCCTTCAGTGTCCCGATGGACTATGAAGCAGGTAATTCCTTTATACCCCTAAGAAGATTTAAAATGTTATTAGCACTGGGATTGTAAGACCCCTTGTTGCCAAAGAGCTCAAAATAAACCTCAGCAATAAAGCCTAATGGTCTCAGAACTGCAACATGTGTGTACAGAAAACAGGAATGATTAGAGGGCACCAGATTCAAAGTCAAGAACTTTACTGTTCCCTTTACTTTTGCAGAAACCATTCCGGATAATAAACTTGTTAAGTTATACTCCAAGTCTATGATCTCGAGCACTGCTTGTTCTATATTTAATTTTATTAAGCACTTTGAAGTTTCAAACTTTAATTCAATGAAATGTTACATCAGAGAAAAAGACCAAAGTTAAAATGTATTTATTTTTCTATATGTCTATTTTCCAACTCAATAAAACTGTCTTAAAACTAAATGTACTAGAGAGGTCCTTAGATTTTTCATGATTAAATAGGAAAATTGAAATTCTACAGCATTAAAAATTACCATCCTATATGACACATTAGGAGATAATAAAGGGTTCTCCAAGCACAGCAGTCACATCAACAGTATTTAGGAGGTTAGGAAACAAGAGGATGAAAAGATGAGAATTGTCTAACATTTTCAGTGCTGAGGAGAATGAGGAATTTAAGACTAAGTCCTAAAAAGGAAATGGAAGTAGGACACAAATATAAAGAGGAGGGGGGGCGAGGGGAGGAGAAGAAATCTCAAACCCACCACGGAAGGGTCCACATTCGCCATCACCAAGAACAGGTCCGCGTACTCGGCATTGGTAATCCACATCTTCGAGCCGTTGATGACATAATAATTCCCCCTTTTCTCTGCTCTGGTCTTCAAAGCGAACGAATCGCTACCCGAGCCAGCCTCTGAAAGGCAGAAACTTCCTACCTACACATGGAAGGAAAACGCCCCTGATTAATAACTGTGTTTATGCTCTGTATAACAAACACTCACTTATGGCAAAAGAAACATGTGTAAATCAAGTGTGCAGCTACTTTGAAAAACTCTACTTATCAAAACGGTAATGGTACTCTGACAGTATTATTTCCTAAAACTTCCTATTGGTCTAAAGTGGGCTTAAAGACCTACGTACACGTATTCAATGTGAAGTTCAATTATATCGGTTCTATCAGTTACAGTACAAAGACATCTCAATGTAAATGAAACCACCAATGAAGGTATTAGAAAATATGAGAGAAAAAATAATACTGGCTCATGATTACTCTTGACATGTCCAAGTGGCAAGAGAGAGGCAGAGTATATTTTTCGGGCGGTGTTAATTTACTGAGTATTACTTGGTTCGTCAATGGTGCTGCACTGTGGGGTGGAATAGTAAAGTCAACGTCATGGTGACTTTCCCCCTGAAAATATTAAATGTTTGAAAGGTCCAATGCATTTCAACATCTTATCCCAACTCACTTTTCCTGTAGCTAGCATGGTCAAATAGGTAGCCTTTTGTTCTTCTGTCCCGTGTTTTTCAACCAGCTTACTGACTACCGAGTTCTGGACAGCACACAGCAGAGCCACAGATGCATCGACTTTGGCTAATTCCTCCACCGCCAGGATTAAGGAGAAAAACGAAGCTCCCGTCCCTCCATACTTGGTGTCCACGTTGATGGCCATCAGCTGCAGGGAAACGAAAACGTGCAGATCAAGAAAGCAGTGTTTACAGGGCGAAATAACCAGTTAAAACAGAAACTGTAACCATACACATTTTCTTTTTTTTTAAAGATTTTATTTATTTATCTTTAGAGGGGAAGGGAAGGAGAGAGGGAGAGAATATCAGTGTATGGTTGCCTCTCATGGGTTCCCTGCTGGGAACTGGCCTGCAACCAAGGCATGTGCCCTGACTGGGAATCCAACGGCAATCCTCTCTCTGGTTCGCAGGCCCGAGCTCAATCCACTGAGCTACACTAGCCAGGGCATACACATTCTTAATGTTTAAATTTGCATGCATACTTTATGTATACATAAAACATAAAACTGTATGCATTTGAAAAGGATGAAATAATGAAATGCCACAACTATTTGTTTCCATTTGTGACCTAAAACATAAAAACAAGGGGTAAGATGCTTTGACAGACAACAGAGTGGAATAATGAGAAAGCACCAGATTTAACTATATGCTGATGACCTTTACTGCTAAGAACTGTTGCTGCCTGTCTGAAAGCTGCAGGTGCCGCTTTGGTTTGGCTTTTCAATGTGGCCCCTTTCTGCTGATTTCAACGCAGCGAGGAAGCTGAAGAAGTTGCCTACTCCTCAGTGGGAATGTCTAGTTTCATTGGGCATGATCTCTTCCAGCCAGACCCTTCCACCTTCACTCTTTGATAATTACATGACCATTCCCTTGTAGGCCACGGCAGCAAATCCAGATGTTTAGCTGACAACATCTGGTGGCGTTGCCCCAGGACCGCACTAGACCAGGCCTGGGTGCCCGCTAACTCGCCTAACGTCGGCTTCCCGGCCGTGGTTGGGCCATTCAGCAGCTGCACCCAAGTCTGGACCACGCGAGACGTCCCCAGCATTCCAGCTCCGCGTTCTCACTTCAGGCAGAGATTGCGTGTCCGAGTAATCACGCCCCAAAGCTGTTCATAGGTTAACCCCACCTCCCATTCTCTCCAGACACTTTGGAATCCCATCCGCTGCAGGCTGGGAGGAGGTCCAAGCTGATGGGAAGCTGAGCTGGAGTGAAGGGAGGCCTGGAAGTGACGCACATCGAGGAAGGGGTGGGGCACTCGGGCGCCTGCGGGGAGGGGGGGGGGCAGGGCAGTGGCCTGAGCACAGCCCTGACGGCTGTCGGAGACCCTGCTTCTCCAAAAAAGTCGCCATTTCCCCTACGGTGGAAACACTGTTTTTGTCAGTTACTGCGGCAGGTGGCCACACCACAACAGGAGTTAGGAGTCAGGGGAGGCGAGAGAAGCTGGCGGGGGACACGCAACCTGGTGGACCTCTGCGAGGACGCCGCGTCTAAGCTGGAGCAGACGACTGAGAACTAGCCCCTGGGAGAGTCAGGTGGAGCCTGGACGCCTCCGACTTCCCAGGGAGCCTCGGCGCCTGCGCACAGTGAAGGCGACTCCTGCCTGGGAAGTGGCTTCGCCGGTGCTGCGTGACCCACTGCAGCGCCACATCTGACTCCATTTTCCCAAGAGTTTCATTGCTAAAACAAAGTTGGAAAAATCACTACTATTCATCGTGTAAAAAAGCTTGTCTCTTTAAATAAAACGAGAATAAAACGATTTAGTTAAGTGGAAAAGGCTATTTTTCAAACAGTGTAACAGACAAGATTTAAGCCAATGGCTCTGAATGGGAGCTATTAGTTCTGAGATATCCTTCGTATTTAAAATAAAATATAGGTATCGCTTCACACCCGTGGAGAAGGTGAGCTGATGAGTGGCGAGATTTTCACAGTGTTCTCCCTGGAGCCCCCACCCAGACAGCCCCTGCACCCCGCAGCCAGAGCGGTCACACTGTGTCTTTCAGATTCTGTGCTTCTGTTCACTAGCTGTGGGCTTAAAAAGCTGGAAAGCAGCCACCCGGGGAATGTGGAATTCAGATGTGGCCTTTGCCTCAAACTTACACATACCTAGGGATTCAGCTACAATATCTGCTACAGTCTGAAGTTCACTGCGGGTGGGGTCCCCAACCTCGGGGTCACTGAGCTGAAGAATTCCGTGGTGGCGGCCGCCCTACGGGCTGCCCAGCTGTATCCTCACTGCCACCCCACCAGATGCCAGGAGCATGGCCCACTGTGACAACCAAAAATGCCTCCAGACACTGCCTAATGCCTCTTGGGGACAAAGGAGCTCCTGGACAGGTAGGTACCAATGGTCTAAAGAATCCCCTCCCTCTTGCTCCTAACCTTTTACTTCAAAAGCACAGTACTTCTCATTTAAACTTTTAATTTAATTAAAAAAAACACTGCAGGATCTCAATCAAAAAGAGAACACAGATAATTTTGACTAGGAAATGAAGAGTTCATTACACTATCATTGTAGTTCCTAATAGATACATTTTTAACCCTCGAAAGTATTTACAAAGTCTGAAATTGGGAGAATTATGAATTATGTACCCCTTGTTGAAACAATCCTTGTATTATTGATTTCTCCATTTTTGAATTTTCGTCCATTGTTGAAACCAAAGGAGCAATCTGTTCCTGGGCAAATTTTTTCACTGCGGGAAATAAAAACACTGGTAAGCCTTTATTCTGTTAATAAGACATACATGACTTTAAAAAAATTTTAAAAATTCATGCCAAAGAATCCCATCCACATACACAGATGAACAGACCCTCCCATTGGGCCGCGTGTCATGTGGTTTCATACATAGACCCGGCCCGGGGCCAGAGGGATGACGAGGTGCCCCTGACAAGTTTGCCCACCTGAGTTCTTTATCATCATCTCCTCGATGGTGAAGGTTTGCAGGGGGGCGCAAGAGAGCCCCTCGCTGGTTATACTGAGCAGAGCTTCTGGCTGGGAAGATTTTAGGGCCTGTGGAGGAGTCTTCCAAGAAAGCAGGCAAGTGGGGAAGTCTCTTCTGAGCTGTAACAACCGTCCCCAGTGAAGAGAGAACACACACATACACACACAAACACAAGGTAAGAGAAGTGTCAGAATGTTAGTTCCTTTGGGAATAACTTTGTAACTCATGCTTACACCATGTGTCGCCAAAAAGGGGAGCTTAACCCTGCCTGTTTTAAAATTCACCGTCTAGTGAACAGAAACAGAAATTGGCTTGCTAACACAGCACTGCTTTGTCCAGCAATGAGCTGTTCCAAAGAAACGCATTTCCCAGACAGTCAACTTGTACCTTCAGAGAAACTGGACTCTCAATGGAGCTCATTCATAAGTTCAGGCTACCTTTGTTTCTCTGACCTCTCATCAGCAAGAGGCAGTGCAGCACAAGAAGGCTTAGGAGAACCATCTCTGGGGTTCTCAAAGGACGAGCTTCGTAACTACGTGGTCTCGGATTTTTAACCTCAGTTAAAATCTCCCAGTGCTTGTTTCCCTCCCTGTCAAATGCCGAGACCTGATGAGGGTTAATGAGAGAATCCACGTGAAGGGCTGAGAGCAGGACCATGACAGTTTTCACTGTGACTTGTGCTAAGAATTCAGGGGGGGCGGGTCACAGTCAGAGCAGCAGCAGCGGTTTCTCGTCCAGGTACAAGTCCTTCCCTGTCCTGGCGTCCCAAACCCATCAACTTGCCAGCTCGACTCAGCAGTGGGTTCGCGACAGTTTTAGTGAGGAAAGAGAGCATCCAATTTTAAGTGTTGTGCCTTTCCCATTTTCTTTTGTAGAATTTTAGTACCGGGGAAACAAGTAAGGCATTAGCCATTTCCTGAACCTAAACACATGCTAAGTAGAAGAAGCCAGCCACAAAAGAGCATATATTATACGATTCTGTTTGTAGGAAGATCTGGAGGAGAGAAATCCAGACGCAGAAAGGAGAGCACTGTGGTTGCCTGGGGCTGGGGCGCAGGGGCGGTGCCCTGCAGAAGGTCCCGGAGGTCCCTCTGGGCAGCGACTTTCAACCTTTTCCATCTCTTGGCACACAGGAACTACCGTAATTACTACTGAAATTGTGCTACCACTAAAAAAATGTTTACTCTTTGCCAGTCTGACAAGAGGGTCGTAATTCTGACACACGCGCACCAGATGGATGTTGTTGTATTGGACAATATAAGGGAGAGGAGGTGAGAGCTCCTGACTCAACAGCCAAGGGTTGCAGGTTTTAAAAATTCCCTGGCTGGTGCAGCTCAGTGGATTGAGCGCGGGCCTGCGAACCAGACAATCCCGGTTCGATTCCCAGTCAGGGCACATACTGGGGTTGCAGGCAGGTTCCCTGCAGGCCAGTTCCCAGCAGGGGATGCATGAAACGCAACCATACATTGATGTTTCTCTCCCTCTCTCCTTCCCTTCCCCTCTAAAGATAAATAAATAAAATCTTTAAAAAAAAATTCTTGGGGCACACCACTTGGAAACTGCTGTTCTGAATGACGAAATGTTCCAAAATTGAATTAGGGTGATGGTTGCACAACTCTGTACTTTCATGGAAAAGCATTATATCATACATTTAAAGAGACTAAATTGTATGGTATGTAAATTATTGCTCAACACAGCTGCACAGAAAAAAATTAGTGCTTTCCTTTTACACAACAAAAATTAAAAGAGGATGCCCTGAGCCCTGGCAAATGCCCGGGAGGGCCTGGCGTTCACAGCGGGGAGTGGCACAAAGGGAAAGAGAACTGGCCCCAGCTTCTGAGAAGCATGTGATTTAGACAGGGCAACAAGATACACGTTCTGTAACCGGCTGTCAGGAACCAGCGTGGCTCATTGGTTGGGCGTCTTCCCATGAAACAGAAGGTCACCGGTCTGATGCCCAGTCAGGACACACGCCTGGGCTGTGGCCTGGTCCTGGATGGGGCCCGTCGGAGAGGCAACTGATCCATGTCGATGTTTTTCTCCCCCTCTCTGTCCCTCCCTTCCTCTCCAAAAATAATAAAATCTTAAAGAAAATAAGGAAGAAACGAAGCAAATGCAAGATTAAAAAGCAAATGCACCATATTTGCATCAAATGCATCATATCACTGCATCGTATTTTCTCAAGAGGCTGGATTATACGGAACACACTGAAAAGCAAACTGCTCTATCGAGAGAGAAAAAAAGAAACCAGAGTCATGTGTCTGAAGCCACTGGTAATCCTTCCTGTGCACCTGCCAGTCCCCGCACTGCTAGGAGCACATGTATTCTACTTCAGATTTAACTGGGAAAAAGAAACAGTGGCCGGACAGAACAAAAATGTGTATGTCTGAATTTTCCTACTTAATTGTGCTTTATTTCGAGAATTAGGAGACAAAGGTTAGGGCCAAGTTGCACAGAACATTTTTTTCCTCGTTAAAATTGGGACGTGAGCACTTTGTATCAGAAAGAAGGATGGGGTTACTGATACAGGGTGCAGCAAGGGGGGCCCCCAAAAAGATTTGGAAAAGTGTCCAGAATTCAAAGTGTATAGAAATATTGGAGAGACATATAAGATGTCCTCACCGCCCCCCCCCCCAGGGGGAAGAAAGAATGGAGCCAGGCCATTGAGAGCTATTTTGCATAGCAACAGTTTTGGAGCTAACCTCTGGAGGAATGGTTATTTAACATATCTATAACCTTTAACTAGTTTCATAGATATGTTAAATAGCAGTGGCCAAGTTTGGGGCCAGAGAGAAGGAACTAGCAGGGACTGAGGATGGAACTGGGAGGTCTCAAGATGGAACTAGGAGCTGCCCTCCTGAGTGGCAGGGACTCAAGATAGGAACTAAGGGCTGCTCTCCGGAGTGAGAAGGGCTTGGACTCAGGATGTAACTAAAGGCTGCGCTCCGGAGTGAGAAGGCCTGTGTGGGAGCTTGGAAAAGACTGGCTCCGAGACATGAAGGGTCCCCGCTTGGCCAGATGGAGAGAGAGCCACGCGGTTTCAGCAGAGTGAGGACCCCCTGTTGGTGGGGTGAAAGAGGGAGCCACGTGGTTTTGGCAGGGTGTGGACCCCCTCTTTCCCAGGTGGAAGAGAAAAACCACGCAGCTTTGCCAGAAGGGAGATCCCTGCAGCCAGGTGAAGAAGACAGCCACATGCTTTTGGTGGAGTGCGGACTCCTGCAGCTTTGGTGGAAAAGGCCCACGCGGCTTTGGGGTGCCCCCTTTGGCTGCGGGGCCTGAAAAGCAACAGAGACTTTGACTGGAACTGGGTACAAAGGACTCTTGCCAGTGGACCATGAGAGGGTACCACAGTACTTTGGATTAACTCGAGATCCTGCACGGTGACACAGCTGACGGTGCCAGCGGCCTGCAACACAGACGTGTGCTCTTTTCCTGATTTACGGTACCCGGAGTTGGGACAAGAGGGAAGGGAGCGCTGTGTGGGTGTAGGTGTATACCCTAAAGGACTTTGATATTTTAGTGGTGGCATTAGGCCTGAATAACATTAAATAAACATTTTGTTTCCTTTTCACAAATCTCTGGCATTGAGAGATGTGTTTCCAATTGGCGGCGGACAGAAGGGCCCAGTAGATTTTAGTATTTTGGGTTTTGGGAGGGGCCCCTGTTGTACAGCAGTTTTGGGCATCCCTAGGTGGGCCAAATATTGTATTGCCCCTCCCTTGGACCTCCTCTTGTTCGGTAACATTACTACACCAGGCACTGTCTTCTTCCTGATGAACCGGGTCCGAAGAATGGAGACAGGTAGGGAGGAGAGAGGCAAGAAATGGAAGTGTAAGGGGGCCGGGAGGGAGGGGAGGGTTGCTAGGCGGAGAGAGAGCTCCGGAGCAGCAGGCCCAGAGGATGAAGCAGGACAGGAGCAGGAACGGAACCACGGGGAGGGGAGGGCGGTGCGGTGCGCTTTGGCTGCGTGGCTGGCGGTGGAGTCGTGGAAGGCCCCTCCACACCTAAATGAAAGGGCCAGCTGTCGTCTCCACAGAAGACTCACAAAACTTGCCTGTACTGTTTCAAAAACTGCAATCCATTGTTCACGTTTCTTACTGCTAGGGGAGATTATTTACTAAGCCCACAACGGAATTCTTTGCGTCTCTTGGTCAATATATGATCATCCTAGCTAAGTTTACCTTGAACGGAAAGTCCACCCCTGAGAAGCTTAAGTAGCCAGTGGGGCCTAAGATGGTGTCCACTGGCTCCCGCTGACGCTGTTGTGATGTCCTTACCGTTGGTGTGGCTACTGATAAAGGACTTGACTGTTTAACACACAGCAGTTATTTCAGAGTCTGCAGATGAGCTAACAGAGGCAAGCGTGCTCAGAAAGGATGGGGTGGCGCACACACGCAGGGTGGGGCTGCCAACAGCGCTCACCGGGGAACATGGCGGCCACGTGCTCAGTGAACGGACTCCATGTAACCAAAGCCACGCAACCGCGAGTGCTCCCTACACTGGCGGAAAAAACCGCCCTTTCACAGGACAGTCTTGGATACACGAAATGTCTCTTCTCCTGCCTTTCCCCACGCAGCCCGAGGGCGAGATGATGATTTCCGACGGTCCCCTGTCCTCCGGGGCTGACCCCAGCCTCTGCCGCTTTGGTGTCCACTCCGTCAACATGATTTCCCACGGTCGCAACCCACTGTGCCGCATCATCACATTTGTTGTGGGAAGCAGCAGTTGCGCCTTGAGCGGAGTCATGGTTATTTATGCCTTGCCAAGGACTGCTCAGAGCTCCAGTCCGGTTCCTACCCGCCCAGCAGGGTTCCGCCGCACTGCGAGGCACTGCTGCCCGAACCTGGGGTCTGCGGACTCCCGCGGACAGAACAAAAGCCCACGGACGTGGGTGGGGCTACAACAATACCTTTACCTCACTACCCTCTGACTGAAATATTGCATTTTCTAGGCAACGAGTTGCAGTAGTGTTAGGAGTTATCTGTGACCCTGTCACCAAAAGAAATGACAGATATTTTATTATCACATAACAGTTGGTCCAAATACCCTGAAATATTGTTGGTTCTCATTACTACTTCAAAATGGTAGTTATTCAAACTGTTGTCAGGTTTTAGTTAAG